TTTATAAATACTATCAAAATCAATTCAAATCTGATCTAACATACATATATGTAAAATATTTATAGTTTTAACCAATTGTTTTGCCTATTTATCAATATGCCCGACTACTAATCTACGTATCTTTCGAGCTCGCCCAATAGCTTGGACCTTAATATAAAAAAGATAAATAATATTAAAAGAAGATTAGATAAAAAAAGGTCTTGACAAATCTTAAGAGGCAAGCATCTTGCAAACACAAGTGTTTTTATGTTATTTATTTAACGAAGCTGAATGTTCTATTTTTATCTTTTTTCTTTAATTTTTACAATAAACACAAGTGGGTTTTATAGATAATTTCTCTTCTCTTTATCAAGAGAGGGTTTTTGATTGGAGAATGAAGAGAAGGAAGTGAAGATAAAAAAGGAAAGACGAAGGAGAGCATGGACAAACCGGATCTAGTTCGTCCATAGTAGGTTTGGGAAAAGTGAGAAAGGAAGAAGAAGAGAAGAAAAAAAAGGGAAGAGAGAGAGAGAGGAGGAGGAAGAAGAAGAAGAAGGGAAGGGAAAAAAAAAAGAGCAAGGGAGAGGAAGAAAGAGAAGGACGAAAGTGAGAGAGAGAATGGTAGAAGATAGAGGCTTTCAAAGATTGGGATAAAATGAATTTATATAGCATATAATTTAATAGCCGAGATTGTTAGGTTTTTTAGATGGGTGGTTGAGATCGAAAGAAAGCAATATTTGATCGGATGGTTAAAACAAAAAAAATGTACAAAATAATATATTTTGTATAGTAATTTAGAAAATATTCAAAGGAAGAAAGCCGAAAGAAGTGAAAAAACACTATTGATATGCACAATGGAATTGAGTTTAAGTGAGCGATATTTGAAACGTTACAACCCTTATTCTTTTAGTTTGTTTAGTAATAGGAATGATATATGATCAATTGATTTAAGTAAAAGCAATAGCCGAAAAATGCTTCGTAATAAGTTTTATTTCAAAGCTTTCGGTTTCTCCTTCCTAATGATTAATGTCTTAAAGTGTAGTTTGGTCATTAAAAATGAAAATTTTGAAATAAAAAATATAAAAATTGAAATGAAATTAAAGAATCGAAATAACATTATCATTCTAATACTATGGTTAGAATAGTAATGAAAAATCAAAATAAAATTTAAAATTTTTAATATATGTCTTTTAAGAAGAATAAGAAAAAAATAATTTCATCAATAATAGAGTGATGAAAATGACAGAGGTGATTGTGATGGTAGCAGTGATAACGGAGGAAGAAGAGGACAAGGAGGTGGAGGTAGTAGTTATAGAAGTATAGTAATAATAGCACAAACTAGTTAAATACCCGTGCTACGCTCGTGGTAAGACAATCATTATATACACGAGTTTAAAGATTTGTATGGTGTGATGCGAGTATATATTTTGTTTCTAAAGATTAATATAAATCGAATCTATATGTTCAACGAATTTTATTTATTTATATATATTTATTAATAAAATAATTTATAATATTAGTATAAAAATTTATATTTGAGTAATTAAGAAATTCTTTCAAAACATTAATTAAATTATTTAATTTAAAAATACAAATTTTAGAATATGAAAAAAATAAATCACAAATATATATGTATATATAGGGGGGAGAGAGAGAGAGAGAGAGAGAGAGAGTACTTAGCAGATTTAGAGTATATAAAATAAACAAATAAATAAAAATATAAAAAAATCCATCTAAATCATATGGAATATATCGAAGTAAATATATTTAAATAAAAACTATTATACAAAATTGGTTTCGATATATATATATATATATATATATATATAACCAAATAAAACCCGTGAATTTTTTTTAACTAATTATTATTTTTTTAAAAAAAATGAGTCGAGTTTTTTTAATCGATTATTATTTTTTTAAAAAAATCAACTCAAATTATCTAAAACACACTTTTAGCTATCTCTCTCTCTCTCTCTCTCTCTCTCTCTCTCTCTCCCCCCCCCCTCATCAAAATTTATTTATGACAAAACTATATATATATCATACTTAGAAGACTCGTAGTATATAAAATAAATAAAATATATATACAAAAACCCACTTAAATTGCATGAAATATATCGAAGTGAATATATTTAAATAAAAATTAATATAAAATTGGTTTCGATAAATTTTGATATATATATATATATATATATATATATATATATATATATATATATATATATATATATATATATATATAATCTATGAATTTTTTTAACTAATTATTAATTTTTTTTTAAAAAAAGCCAAATTATTTTTTTAATTGATTATTATTTTTTAAAAAAATTAAGTCAAATTATCGAAAATATACTTTTATCTCTCTCCCTCTCTCTCTCTCTCATTAGAATTATATATATATAACTTGTGAATTTTTTAACTAATTATTAATTTAAAAAAAACGAGCCAAATTATTTTTTTAATTGATTATTATTTTTTAAAAAAATTAAGTCAAATTATCGAAAATATACTTTTATCTCTCTCCCTCTCTCTCTCTCTCATTAGAATTATATATATATAACTTGTGAATTTTTTAACTAATTATTAATTTAAAAAAAACGAGCCAAATTATTTTTTAACCGATTATTATTTTTTAAAAAAATCAAGTCAAATTATCTAAAATACACTTTTAGCTCTCTCTTTCTCTCTCTCTCACACATTAGAATTTATATATGCAACAATGCCATTTTCGTTGAAAAATCATAAAAATAATTAATCCTATAAATTATAATAATATATTTTAGAAAATAAAACAATCATGTTCTAAAATTTTATTTCAAAAGCCATATATAAAAATAATAATTTTATTAACAAATAAAATTATATAAAAAATTTAAAAATTAATTTGATGAGAATGTTAATAAGAAACAAAAAATTAAAGAAATAGATTTTAAATAATAAAAATAATATAATCGGATATATATGTTCAAACTAATTTTTTTTTAAATATCATATATATTCTATTACCGTTAAACCGTACATAAAAAAGAAAGATATTTTTTTATATTTTCACACCTAATTTCATAATAAAAAAATATAAAAATAAATTATTTATATAGAAAGGAACAATTGCCATATAAGAACCTATAGAAACAGAAAACCAAAAGAAAAAAAAAAGGAAAGAGAAATGCTATAGTGAAGTTCTAGCAACTTCACTCTTAAAAAAAAAAAAGAGAAAGAGAAAAAGGAGGCTAGATGTTATTAAAAAAAAAAAAAAGGTACTGGTATAGTGCTACAATGAAGGAAAGATTCAACAACCTCGACCATTGTGTGGCTAAGAATTGAAAGATTGAATTTGTCAAGCATGTCAAATAAAAAGTAAGAGCAAAGTGTTGCAATAAGAATTGTCAATGGGTTTTCTATGCAAGATAGAAAAAACATACAAGTAATTTTGAACTTAGAACATGTGTAGATGAACATATGTGTCAAGTTGCATTTAAGAATGGAAGGATTAAGATGAGAGTTATTGCAAAGTACTTCATCAAAAAACTTTGATAGTATTGCTTTAAAAATGGATAAAAAAGATGTGAAAACACAAGAAAGAGAGAAATCATATTGTAATATAAGTCTTGACCAAGCTAAAAGAGCAAAGAAACGAAAAGAGAGGCATTTTCATGGTGATGAAAGTGTTGAGTATGTAATGCCGTAAGATTACTTAGAAGAGTTGAAGAGGAGCAACAAAAAAAGCACCATTAAAAATTGATTTACCAGATTCTAGTAGTAGGAGTAATCTAGTGTTCAATGCCATTTTCATTGAAAAATCCTAAAAATAATTAATTGTATAAATTATAATAATATATTTTAGAAAATAAAACAATCATATTCTAAAATTTTATTTCAAAAGCCATATATCAATTTTATTAACAAATAAAACTATATAAAAATTTAAAAATTAATTTGATGAGAATGTTAAGAAGAAACAAACAATTGAAGAAATAAATTTTAAATAATAAAAATAATATAATTAGATATATGTGTTCAAATTAAAATTTTTTAAAAATATCATATATATGCTATTACCGTAAACTCGTACTTAAAAAAAAGATCTTTTTTTATATTTTCACCCATAATTTCATGATAAAAAAATATAAAAATAAATTATTTATATAGAAGAGGAACAATAGTCATCCGAGAACCTATAGAAACGGAAAACCAAAAAAAAAAAAAAAAGAGGAATGCTACAATGAAGTTCCAACAGTCCTGATCCTTAAAAAAGAGAGAGAAAAAAAAAAAAGGAGGCTAGACATAATTTTTTTTTAAAAAAAAGTACTGGAACAATGCTACAATGAAGGAAAGATCCAACAGACCTAGCTCTTTTAAAAGAAAGGAAAAAAAAAGAGGAGGCTAGTCGTGTGAAAAAAGAAAAAAGCACTACTATAGTAAATGAACAAGTATCAACCCAGCTTCTTTTAGTTTTTTTTTTTTAATATATTTTAAAAAAATTGATGTCATTATCATAAGATACGTTAGTAGTGGTAATGGATAACGAGGAGGAGAAGGTGGTGATAGTAATAATAACTGAACATGGAAGAGAAGTGATAATTATAGTAATATAATAAAAATGATGATATCAATGGTGGTAAAGTTATGGTAGAACAATAATAATAATGATTTTTCAAAAAAAAATTATCCACATCACCAATGAAGGTGGTTGTTTAAACGGTGGAGATAGTGATGGTTATAGAAAAAATTAATATATTATAGATAAAAATAATATATCAAAATTTGAAAGAAAAAAAATCATTCTCATATTCTCACTCTTCATAAAAATGAAACTATACCACTTCCTTCTTTTCAACCTTTTGTTTATGATAAGTACAAGTTTTACTAATATAACCAATTGAAAGTATGTTTATGATAAGTACAAGTTTTACTAATATAACCAACGCCACCGTTCGGCTTTGTATGCCATCGGATCTATATGGTCAACGCAAGACCTCATAGCGACCGACATTTTGACAATTAAAGCACATTATTTTCATTCACGGCTCCACAATGATCTTCCCTGTGGCATGACCATCGATACTCTTAGCCCAAGCATCTTCAGCTTTGCTTAATGGATGCTTTGAGTCGATCACTGTTTTAAGCTTCCTTTCCTTTACCAGATTAACAAGATAATTCAGGTTCTCGCCATTGGGAATCAGAAGCAGTGGCACCAGCTGCTTCTTGGAGAAGGTAAGTTTCTTCACAGCAAAAGTCATCATGGCACTGGGGCCGGGAGTGATATCTACAACCTTTCCATTCTCACTTAGATTTGGCTCAAAAGTACTCCAAGGTATGCCTGATGCACAGTGAATCACAGCATCATATTTCTTACCAGATGGGCTCTTCAGAGCTGCTCCTTCTGGGGTTTTGTAATCCAGAACCTCATCAGCCCCTAAGTTCTTCACAAATTCAATGTTACGAGCCCCACAAGTGGCAGTCACATGAGTGTTTCCAAGCTTTGCTAGCTGAACTGCATAGTGACCCACACCACCTGAGGCAGCAGTTATCAGAATATTTTTTGGTCGCCACTTCCATCAAGCTTGACCCCAGCAGATTCAGTGAGAGCCTTAAGAGCTGTGAGTCCAGCAATAGGCAAGCCTGCGCCTTCAGCTGCTGAAACTTCAGGCGGCCTTGCAACTGACGAGCTCTTCTCAGCCACTACAAATTCAGCTAGTCCACCTCCACTCTGTTATTAGTAGTACACAAAAAAATTAATCATAGAAACAGAAAGAAACAAAATTCAGCGACAAATGGTAAAACCCATTCATACACATTAGATTGCAAAAAGCTAAAATGCACTATTCATATCTGTGCAACCAAGTTGATAGCATGTGCCAAGTCCCATATCCACACTCCTATGCAACACTTAATGTTGCACGAGATCCAGGAGAAAGGCATCTAAGCAAAATAATCTCTATAATGCGCCTCAAGTTGGCAATATTACAAACTAGTAAAAAAGCATCATAAATGTCAAAGGCTTTGACCTATTTGCTTTAGCCAAAAAGATGAGCTACAATGATGCTGTTAAGATATCCGCTTGTGTTTGATTGAAACTGAGCAAATGTCCAAAATAGAGTTATCTGATTTTACTTTTGTGAAACTAAGTTATCTAAAGGCCATGCCTCACCAATGTAGCTCATTTAAAAACCACAAAGACAAGGAAATAAAAAACACCAAAATAATGAATGATCACTTACAAATTGGCTAAGTACAGCTACAGCTTTGTCACCAGTTTTGAAATTTTCAACTCCTGGCCCAACTGCTACAACCTCTCCTGCCACATCAGTACCTGTTTCAACAAAGGTTTCTTCAGCCAAAAAGTTAATTCGGGGTGTGTGTGTGTGTGAATGCATGCTAGGCAAATAGACAGTATTGCTAAAACTATAAAACTAATATATCGGCATGAGTTTCAAAGAATGTCAACCACATGGATCAGAAGCTATCTTTCAGAAGGGTGCGGGAAATAATGTTTAAATCAGTTGTTTCTCCATCTGTACTCGCTTTCAAAGTTATAGATCTTTGTTGAGATATGGTGTGAGTCGCTGAACAGAGAGAATGGGGTAAGTCCAAGAGAAATGACTAAACAACCATCTAATCCTAACAAGGAACCCCTCTTTTTTAGATTGCCTGAACCAGACCAAGTAAAGCACACACGAGTGATAAGAACTGAGTAACCATGGAAAGGAAACCATCTGCCAAACAGCACCCAAGTACAACACAAAATCCCAAAACTTTTTGATATAAAAGAACTGAAGGCAAACATTGGAAACGGTAAGCATAGATTATTGCATTCACATTGCCATATACCATAAAAAATGACAACGGTATGTCAGTTTCCATGTTCCCTCATTCTGAATGTTAAACAAAGGAACAATAAATCCCATTTTAAAAGTCATTTAGATGAAACAGCATAACGTTACACACTTAAATCCGGATCAAAACATGCTTGAGCACCTAAAAGAAGATAATCATGCAATCAATTAACGTTATTAAGAATAATTTCCTTGGGGAATTAAAGTACAGTGAAAAGACTCGGCAAGGTGTAAAATAGTGGATTCCATAAATACCAAAATATATCCACACAAAGAAAGAAGTAAATTACAGGGGATCCACGGGAATCGTCGAGGTAAAATAGGGCGCATAACGCCTTTCTGCATTGTCCAATCAACTGGGTTTACACTAGTAGCTTCTACCTTAAGCAAAACCTCGTCTTTGTTGGCACTAGGGACTGGAACCTCAACATGCTGCAACAAGCAACACGAGTTATATACTAGCAATACATCAATCCCTGCTCGTTTGGTTGCCAAAAATGTGACCAAACCTCAACTGTGATTCAGTAACAAAAAAAAAAAAAAATGGGGCAACAATCTTTAATTCATCTCCATACCCCAACAATTACTACTACATAACAAACTAACTGGTCATCACAGAAAAGTAATTACACTTGGAAAACAAATGCAAAATTTGGTTCTAGAATAGAAATAATTAACCTTTAAACCCGCCGCGCCTCCACCATAGCTATCATACTGAACGGCATGCATTAGTTTCCCTGCCATGTGCAATGGAAGCGACGCCGTCCGGATCACAGAGACAGAAGGAGGGAGAGTTAAGAAAACAAAAAAGACAAAGAAACTGGGTGTAGGAGACAAAAAGTAAGGAAGTGTTGGCGTGGCTTTGTTGTGTTCACGAAGTTTGTTACGTGACGTGAATAAATACAATTAGGGACTAAATACAAGTCATATGGAATGTCAACTTTTGAGTTATAGACATGACCGCTTCTTTCAGTTCCATTTATCAGAATTTGAAAAATTAACATTTACTTGTCCAAAATGCTATCCTTTTATTCCCACTGGCATTATACCGGTTTGGCGGCATGACTGAATATAATTGGGATAATGGTATATGAATTACTTTGATTTTATGATTTTTTTTCTATTTCAGTATTCTTTTTTTTCCCTAGTAATTGTATTCATTAAATTTGATCATATTTAAAATCCACCTTTTGTAACCGCCTTTTATGTGCCAATTTGACAAATTGTTTATGTCACGTCCTATTTTATTTCTAATAATTTAGTTATCAAATTTAATATTTTTATTTTTAATCATTGCAACACCAATGTAAACTAAAATCCATCAAATATCAACATAAATAAGAATCCATCGATCCATTATTTAACAAATTATAAAATCAAAATTTTATCCTATTTATTAACAACCAAACCTAATTAATTCAAAACAATTCCAATAATAATAATACTCAATTGAATTTCAAATAACATAAATTCAAATTCCTAAAATATTTACTAACAATTAACAAATTTGTATATGAATAATTAATATTTCAATTCATACAACGACTAAATATTTATCTATATTAAGCAAATTTGACCCAAAAACAATTTATCAATTTTAAAATCCTAAGTTCAAATAATCTTATATTATGTCAATTTTAAAATAACACTACCTTAATTTCAAAATTTAACATTCTATTTTATTTCCAATAACTTATTTATCAAATTCAAAACCTTTTATTTTTTATCATTGTAACCCTAATCAATTATAAAAAACCAAACCTAGTTTATTAACAACCAAACCTAATTAATTCAAAATAATTTTAATAAAAAAATACAGATCAATTAAATTTCAGATAATATAAATTGGATTTTTCTAACATATTTACTACCAATTAACATATATAAAAATTGGTAAGCAATCAAATAGTTAAAAGAAAAATAGAGAAACTTACCTTTTCTCGGAGAGAAAGAAGTTGTCAACGTAAAGAACGAGGATGGAGTGGTTTCTATCGGCAAAGAAGGGGAGAGAGAGTGGCGATGACGGCTTAGGGATGGAGAGGAAAAATAGAAAAAGACAAAGGGTTCCGGCAATTTTAGGAACTTCTTTCGGTGATCGGATACTATTCCGTCACTAACATTAAGAGTTTCTTGTTGTTTGATTTTTAAAATTACGTGAATTTTTTCTACAATTAGTGATGGACACAATTCAATCACTACCAATAAATTTTCATCGCTATTTCATTTTTAAAATTGCATAATGTTTTCTTACTATCAACGACGGACACAATTCTATCACTAAATGTTTTGTTTTTTTTTCTTTTTTGTTAAATCATGTCCCTATATCCAACCCAAAATTATTAATGGATGAAACTATTCGTCGGTATGCATCCATCACAATTCGATTGATATTCCATTGTTAAATTAATTTTCAAAATTGACTATTTAATTCAACGACGCTAGTGTTCGTTATCGAATGTCCGTCGGTAGTTCGTCACTATTAGCCCAAAATGTTTAGTGATTGATATAATCGTTACGCATTTGCTAATCAATTATTGTTTGTCGATAACTTCATGTCCGTCATTGATTTTCACAGCTTATTTTACTATTATTTTTTTAGTAATTCTTAAGAGATATTTTAGAATTAAACCAAATATGGTACATTTCCTAAAAAATGGTGCCTTTGGGTGATCATCATCTTTCCAAAGGTATAACCAGCTCCTTACCTAAAATATCTAAATCTAATGTCTTCGTTAAGTTTTCTAGTTCTTTTCAAAACTAGGTATCAACTCTAAAACCTCTCTTAATTCTTTTTCCCTTAGAACAAATAAATTTTTTTAGAGTTTCCATATGTCTCGAGTAGCGAAAACTATTAATTCATCTAAAAATCAATCCATTTATTTAGAGCCCCTCTTTTTTGAAAAAGAGAAATTTAAACATAAATTTATAGGTCTTTTTTTTTTTTTAAATACCGGCATTACTTGGGAAGAATGCTCAATTTCTCTTTTTAATTTCTTTTTTTTTTCAAAATTTCAAAAATTTATAAAATAAAAATAAAAAATAAAGATGAAGGAAACCTTAATAAGGTTACAACAAACATGATGACAAAAAAAAAAAAAATCAATAAAGTGCTTATTTGTCAAAAAAAACATAGGGATCAAAGTAAAAATTTTATAAAATTCAAGGGACCAAGTATATATTTTAGCTATGAATTTATGTCGTAAACACATAACATATGTCAATTTTTAACATTGTTAGAGATATCAATCAATGAAAAATATATGGTTGATATTAAGACAAGATAGTAGAAAGAAAATAAATAGTATAGAATATACAAAAGCATTAACTCAATATGTCTTATGAGAAAAGTTTTTAAAGGTAAAATATTTTAAGAAAAATAAATGTGTATTTAGTTGTGATCTCTTATTCCCACCTTAAAGCTAATGTATCACATGGCCGGCTAGTGAGGGAGATCAAAGCCCACCAAGTTTGGGTTCTCTCTTCTTCTCTCACAAAGTTATTGCTATTGATCGGTTTTGCTAATGATTAGCCTTGTATTCGTCGTTGTAAAAAGGAGAAAAGGACACTAAATGACTTACGAATTGTCATTAGGTCCCCCTTCATTTTTAGTTGGCTCTATTTATATATGTGTGTGGAATATGCACCTAGATGAGTTTATGTCTAGATTCATTCTTATTCTATATGGGACTTTTTAGTAAAATAGTATGATTCATCTTTATCTTTTGTGAGATGTGTATGTAGATGGATTCTAAACTAGGTTTATGCCTTCTAGAAGGAATTAATTTGTTGCCCACACTATGTTATGGGTCGAAAAGACTCAAATTATTTTAATTTGATACTTCATGTTATATTAAGGATCTACTAAAATATATCAAATCAAAGGTAAAAAAATTTAAAAAATAAAATCTAGTAAATTTTTAATCAAAATCTTATATTTAATTAATTATTTCTTATGTTTTTCATAAATTTTCAACCAAAAAAAATATGATTTTTATTTTGCATGCATTGATTTTTAAATAAGAATCTATAGTAATCTAAATAGAAAATTAAATCTAGAATTAAAAAAAAACATTAATATCTTTTCCATAAGGTTTTATAAAAAATAACAACAATTAACATATAAACTTGTTTAAAAATTAACAAATAAAAATTAATTTTTTATTCTTATTTAATGCTAACGAGAGGATTATTTTTTTAGAACACTTACATTTAATAAATATTTATATATTACAACATTATGACATTTTTTGCCCCCAAAGTATTGTATTTTGGCAATTTCGAGCCCAAAGTATGAAATTGTGTAATTGGAACCTCCAAAGTATTGAGGATTAGGCAAATTTGATTTAAATTACCCAATTCCTATTATTTCTAATGGGCAACCGCCAATTGATCGCTACTTAATTTAATTTTTATTTTTAGTCGAAGCCAAGAGGAATTGAAAGGGGTAAGGCGGATCATCTACCTTGCACCTTTCAATTCTTCTCTTAAAAAACTAGGTTTTAGCAAGAGTGATTAATTGAAAAGGACGAAGGGAGAGATTGTGAGATTGATAGCAATTTTATGGGAGTTATCTCTTAAGGGTTAGATTTCGGTTTTTAGTTAATTGAAGAGAATGAGAGGGTGGGGGGTAGAGAGAGTGAGTTAGGTCTTTGTCAAAATATTCTATAAGACTTGTCATCTTCTTTAAAATTCGACTGGGATTGAGAGAATTAATGGCTTCCTATTTGTTTTCTTCTTCTTCTAAACCATCAAATGCAAAACCCTCTAATGAGGAAAATATTTCTACATTATTCATTCAAACACTCCAAAGTGTGATTATCTCGATGATTCACCTATGAGATACCTCAAATGTGGACTCTCAACTTCTCGATGGACTTCATAGAGTGATAATAATCCAAGCATGAGGTTTTTTGCATGCTCCAAATTTAACATAGTATATGGTAGTACAAAATACAATTATTTTCATTTTCAAGATCCTATAATTAGAGGAAAAGTAAGAAATGTAATTAATACTTTGAAGTATACTAAAAAGAGGCCAACTTCGAGAATGAGCATTTGTTGAGAGAAAATCTACTTCTAAGAAAGAAGATTGTTAGTAGTAATAAAGACGAGAGAAAAAGAATTCTAGGTGCAACCACTCGTGTTGGTTGTTCGATTGCAATAATTGTATTAGTTTGTTTTTTGATATTATTAGGATTAGGTTAATGTTGACTAGGTTTGTTTGGTAGGTTATGATAATTTTGTAAGGTGTTTGGAATAGATCTAATTCAATAATATTGTTTGTAAGTTTCTACAATTGATGGGATAACAATGTTGTTGTTCGACAACAAATGTACTAGGCGAATTTTGAATGTTAAGTGTATTAAACATTATGTGAAAAAAACTAGTAATTTAATGGTGATTTATGGAAATTAACATGTTAATATATGAACTTTTTTGTTAAATGTTAAAGAGGAACGTTGATTGTTATGGAAATATAGTGTTATGGATAAATATACAAATGTTTTGTTGAATGTTAAAGAGGAATGTTGATTGTTACGGAAATAAAGTGTTATGAATAAATGTACAAGTTTTTTTGTTGAATGTTAAAGAGGAATGATGATTGGTATGGAAATAAAGTGTCATGGATATATGTACAAGTTTTTTTTTTTTTTTTTTTTGAATGTTGATTGTTATGTTAAAGAGGAAAAGCAAAAAAAAAAAAAAATTGAATAATTCTATAGAAATCCTTCAATTTTATGGTGAGAAAAGGAAAAATGGATAACGAGAAAATGAAACAAGAGAATTCAAACAATTTTCAATTCGAGTTTTTTGGATTTTTTTCTAGGTAGTGTTTGAATTTTTGGGCTTGGGGATGAATTTATGGGTTTGGAGATCAATTTATAGGTTTTGCTCTTAAACTTCGGGTTTTGTTCTTGAATTTTTGAGTTTGGGGATAAATATATGGGTTTTGTTCTTGAATTTTTAGGTTTTGGGATGAATTTTTGAGTTTTGTTCTTAAAGTTCTAGGTTTTGTTCTTAAATTTTTAGGTTTTGACTTGAATTCGGGTTTTGTTCTTGAATTTTTAGGTTTGACGATGAATTTCGGGTTTCAAAAGCTATGTGTTCATCCCTAAACCTAGAAATTCATCCCTAAAACCAGAAATATAAGAACAAAACCCAAAACTTTAAGAACAAAACCTAGAAATTCAACCTTAAACCCAAAAAATTCAAACACCGCCCAAAAGAAAACCCAAAACCGAAAATCATTTGAATTCTTTTTTTTTTCACTCTCTCGCTATCCATTTTCCCTTTTCTCACCACATAATTGTTCATCATTTCTATCGAATTGAAGGATTTCTAGAGAATTTATAAACAATTATGCGAGAAAAACACTTAAATTTCTACAAATTATTCATCAATTCTATAGAAATTTATCATTTTCCCGAAAAAAACTTGAATTTTTGCAGAATTGATGTACAATTCTATAAAAATTCATGTGTTTTTTGTAGAATCGTTCATCAATTTTGTAGAAATCAACAATTTTACGAATTGATCAACAATTCTATAGAAATCATCAATTCTCTCATAAATTATCCAAAATTTCTGAATAAGCATCCAAACTCCTAGAAATCATTCAAACTTCCAAAAAAACATCCCAACTCCCAAATATCATCCAAACTCGAATAAAAGCATCTCAACTCCTAAAAATCATTCAAAGTTCTAGAAAAGCATCTAAACTCTCAAAAATCATCCAAATTCCTAGAAAAGCATCTCAACTCCCAAAAATCATCCAAACTCCTAGACAAGCATCCAAACTCCTAAAAATGATCTAAACTACTAACAATCAAATAAAATTGTCTTAAAGCATCCACAATTCCTAAAAGCATCCAATTGGTAATTCATTGACAAAATAAGAATGCTTCAAATCTATTAACAACAAAAAAGAAGCAACAACATCATCCATTACACATAGTTAATATTATGAAATTCAAATTAATGGATCGATTACATATAACTAACTCGTTCAAAATAGAAAATGATTCATTAACAATAAAAATATTTACAAAAACATCTATCATTTTTTACAATGTTCTCAAACAACAACAATTCGTCCTTGATTCTTCCTCAATCTTCCTTTTTTTTTTTTTACGGAGTGGATTGCTTGGATTTCTACCCCTTCTCTTTGGTTCAAGTTATTATTGAGTTTCTTGTTCATCTAAAGGTAGAGTGCCTAGATTTATAACATGTGAAATATATGTTCTAGGCTATACAAAATATAAACACCAATAAAAACTTAGTTACAACTAAGAAAATACACAATTTTAGAAATAAATACAAATTGCAAACACCAACAAAAACTTACATTCCAAATTGAAAATCTTGTATCGGGATTTACATATAAACCATATGTATATCTAGGAAGTCTTCCGTTGATAGGATTAAAGGAAGTAGTTATGGTTCCTAATTCCTATGTTATAATCAACTCTTGCACTAGCAATTGATCATCTAGAATTGCCTCATTTCTTATTATACAATTGGTGTTACGGATGTTAAAGCACTCGTTGACCTATCCTGGAATGCAAAAAACACATAAAAAATTAAAAAATTATTACACATAATTTTTAACACTCATATTATTCATCATTAATAAAAAAAAATTAACAACCTTTGTTTTCTTGTTAGAACAAATCCATAAATTAACAACTTTTTTTTATAACATTAGGAATAATACATAACTTTTTCTTTTCTTGATAAATTTCTCCCACCATTTTTTGCTTTCTACACCTCTTTAACCCTTTTATTCTTCCTTCTTTCAACCTTCTTCCTTAGTGGTGTAGAGTCAATAAGGTCAAATCCTTTTTCTTCCAAAATTTCTTCCTAGTAACAACTTGTAAAACAAACTAGTAAGACTTCATAAATGTCTCCTTTATGCACCAATGGGATAAATAATCTTCCGGCTTCTCATTCATGCTTTTTAGTACATGCATGGCATGGACAACAAGGATTCTACTAATAGCCCATAGTCTATAACTATATTTTATAAGAGGCATATTAACAAGATATCTATCTCTAAATTAAATGACTTCATAACTATCATCTTTATTTTGTATTATTTTAGTATTATGAATCAAATCTCTTTCCTCTTCAATCTTACACTAGATTTTTGATCCATAATCTCCTCGTGAACCTACTAACCAAATGCCTTCTTTTTACTATTCTTGTCATTACCATCACTCTAACAACATTGTAATGATTGCTTTATATCTAACTTGAAGCAAGTTGTCATTAAACACTTCACACATGTTATTTTCAACAACATCACACTTACTATGTGACTAAAGAAAAGCTTTGCTCCATATTGTCATATCAACTTTTAACAGATCATCCTTTGGTTTCCTTGTTATCTCCTTTAGTGCTTTTTCTAAATTAGGTTAGTTTGTAGCCATTGCTCATGCCTAGAATTTTTCATGAAGCTCCTTACCTTTATATTTCTTCCTCTAATTTGAAAATATATGCCTTGCATAATTTCTATACTTGGCATATGGCATTAACTCTTTGATTGCCTTCTCAAGACCTTATCAAGAAAAAATATATTAGTCAATAAATGTTAGTGACTACCATTTTTTACTACCATTTTCAAACTCCAAACTCTAAATCAAAATATAGAATTAAAAAGGTCAATAGATAGATAAATGTTACCTTTTTTTGATCTATCATTAGAGTCCAATGGTTCGCCATTTCCAAACTCTATATCCGGATCTCTCATTAAGTGCTCAATAAACCATGTCTAAGTGTACCGATTTTCACCATCAACAATAGCCTAAGCCCAAGGAAACATTTGATTATTCTCATCTATTCCAATAGAAGTTGTTAGCACCTAATTTTTTCTCTAAATTTATTTTTTAATTACAAAATACCAAAAAAAGGATAAAAAAAAAGCCAATATATATATATATATATATATATATATTCAAATAAAAAATCAAAGCATTTAAAATAATTAGATTAGGAGGGGGCTAATTTAAAAAAAAACATGAAGATAAAAAAATGAGACAATTGAGGGCCCGAAACGAAAAATCGAAGCTTCGGTTCTTTATTTAAGTTAAAAAAGGGTACAATTGGAACTAATTAAAATTAAAAGTCCTAATTATCCGCAATGGAAGGCTTCAATTGAAACAAAAAAAAAAAAATCAAAATTGAACTCAAATTAATGGACTGGTAAGAGCCAATGACCAAAACAAATTTTTTCATAAAAATACCTTACCTATAAAAACCCACTTCTATGCATTTTTTGAGACTTTTTACTATTCACCATTACTTTCTCCAAAAACCTTCCAGCTCGCCTACCCCCATCACGAGCTTTCTCATCTAAAAAACCTTCATTCCTTTTCCCTTATCACCCACATAAACCAACCTCCATAACCACCCACACACAACCTTTTCACGCCTATAACACCCCTCGTGCAACTCTCTCACCCGAAACCCATACGACTCGCCTTAACCGATGTAAGTTTCAGCCTCATTTTCCTCTTTCATCCACACTACTCGTACCCCAAAAAGTAACCCATACAACTTATAACTTTCTTCTCCTCTTAAGCTCCATACAACATAGCCTCCTTCATCACCTCTCCTCTTCGGATGCTCATGCCAGCCCTTTTTCCTTGCCTCAACCCGACCTACAACCATTTCGAGCATAGCCTAGCTCCAACTCTTCCGCTCCTTGTGTAAGCAACTCGTATGCCTCAAGCTTACCATAGGCCCTCCTTTAAGCACTCCAGCTCGCGTACCATAGGCCCCTTTTATTCTCCCCCGCAACCATCTCGTAAGTAACCTCATATACGCCTTGTAGTTCCTTATGCAACCATCACGGCAAGCCACATCGCCCACTCGTCATCCCTATAAGTAGCCCTACACAGCTCCAACAACCCACTCCCTTGCAATAACCCTTACCAACAGACCTTTCTCCCCTAGTACTGTAGCCTTACACGGCTACTAGTAATCTTCCCAAGTACGATAAGTCTCCCTTCCTCACTCGTATGCCTAACGAATAGCCTCGGTCTCTCTTTTTTGCTTGCATGCCCAGTTAGCCTCCCAAGCTAGCCAGCCGACTTGCATACACGTAGGCACACCAATGCCAAAAGTAGTGAAGGCCCTCGTAGGCTAGTAACTCCTCTCTGCAAGCTAACGGTAGTCTCTCTTTGATCCAAGTAACAATTATGAAGATTTAAAAAAAGGAACAAAACAAAAAATAAATCTTCTATTGGTTTATTGGTTTTATTTTAATAGAAAAATACAAGCAACAAAAGTCCCTTTAAGCTTTAGGAAACTTTGTAACTTTTCAAATTTTGTAGCAACTTTTATAGTATTTGTATGAATATCAAAGGATTTTTTAGTCATTCTAGTGAGACTCACACCATACGTTGCTAACAAGCGAGTTGCTCTCTTTTTTAGCAAACCGAATAGTTAATTATCATCGGGAATGAAGAGAGTAAAGCCGACTTCAAGTTAGACATTAGAATTACAAAACTTTTAGGTAAATTCCAAAACCATTGCACTTTATTTTTTTTTAAAATAAGGGTTAAAAATGACTAGATTGATTAAAAATATGCATAAAAATATTATTTTTTTTTAAATACACATAGTTTAAATGTGGATTAGAGTAGACATTGTTGTTACGACCATGACAAACTACACTCGTTTTATTGTTTTACTACCGCACGTTTACATGTGAAGTTTTTTTTTTTTACAATTAATTAATTAACTATGTCCGATTATATGAATGAAAATGTTGTATTTTGTTTAAATATTTAAGGTTTGAATATGGATAGAAATAAACATTGCTGTAATAGCCATTAAAGGATAAACTACATTATTTTATTATTTTATACATGTATGTCTAAATGAGAAGTTTGTATGTTCTTATGGTTGATTAATTAACTATGTGTGACTGCAATATGAAAATAAAGTGCTCGATGGTTTCAGAATCATTTACTATGTTTTCTATATCTCGTTTATTATTTTATGCTTCCTATTTTCTTGTTTTTTATTTTCTCGTTCTAGTTTCTTATTTCTTGTTTTATCAAAATGAAAGCTGTCGGTGGTTTTCCACTTGTGTGATGAAGCTACCGAGTGGTTTCAAAATAATTTTTATTTAATGTTTGCTTGGCTGAAACGAAGATACCGAGTGGTTTTTCACTTATGTGATTAAGCCAAAAATGGCTTCCAAAATAGCTATTTACTCTATGCTCAAACTAAATAAAGTGGTCGATAGCTTCTAAAATGGCTTCAAAAATTGCTATTTACTCTATGCTCCAACTAAATAAAGTGGCTAATAGCTTTTCACTTATGTGACAAAGTTATCGTTAGCTTTCTAAAACCATTACTCAAAGTCGTTGGTAGTTTTCCACTTGTGTGAGTGAAGTCGTTGGTGACTCATCGCTCATATCGATAAAAGGTTATCCATCTTTAGAAACTTATCTATTTATCGATAATAGGTTGTATTTGTTAATGACTAGCTAAAATTCTAACTTCCTCCACCTTTCCTCTCCGGGTAAGGAGTATTGGCCTTAAACCGGCTCGAACTTCCAAACTATCCTATTTTACACCCGAACTAACCTATTTCATATTTTTTATAAAATAAACTCATTTAAATTGATATAAAAGTAAAACATAGTAAAAATTAAATTTTCATGTTCATAGGAAAATAATCCAAACTTACCTTAGATAGGATAAGATGGTGACGATATTATATCTTCCCCATATATAACCATCCTCTTACCTAGATATCTATGTAGACTAGTATGTTTAGGGTTTCCTAGTTCTTTTTTATTAGTTAGGTGGTCCCCTCCACGCGATGGCCGATTTCGACGGAATTGATGACTCCATTAGGGACTATGCCATGCTAAGGTTGAGCTTTGAATGTCTATGTTTTGAATCTTTAATTGTTTGTTATGCCCTTATTTCTATTTGTTTAAATAAGTAATCATCGTTTATTTAATCATTTGCTTTCTTATTATGTAGTGGAAATTTATTTGTATTTATATGTGCTTTTATGTTGTTTTTTTATTTGGCTTTAGTCATTTAATTTCTTATCGTATGGTGTAAATTTATTTGTGTTTATGTGGGTCGTTTATGTTGTTCTTTCATGTAGCTTTAGTCATTTAATTTTTAGTCTCTATTTTGTGTTTTGAGACTCGGATATGGAGTTGTGCCATCATACACTATATTTTATAATTTTAAATCTCATATGTATTTGCCTTAGGATCTAGAGAGGAATTACTAATGCTTCGATGAGTTTCACCCCTTCTAAGCACATAATTTAACTCGTATAGAAAAGAAGTCATCCAAGTGTTCGACCTCTATTAATAATTACGCAAGTCTAAGCACCCAAACAAAAAGCACTTAGAAGTAGTAAAGTGATAACTCTATCTTTTTCGACTTGTATAGTGTTTTTCTTTTTAGAAATCTATTCAAGAATATTTAATGATAATCCTTAGAGAGAGAAAGAGAGTTGGCATGTGTTAGGGAGGGAGAAAACTATTTTCTCCTTGCTTTTCTCTCTAGCCGCGTATGACTTGGCAATAATTCTCTCTTTGTCACACTTCTCATTGTAGTTATAGGGAGAGTGTCTTTCTTGTCCTCTAAATAGAAGGAAGTGGCGACATTAAGTCCTAAAAGGACCCTTGGTTGTTACTTTTTAGTCCTCCAAGGATTATGAGTTATTATGCATGTAGGCTTTTTGATCTTATCCTTTTAAACCTTGATCCTTATCTAATAAAGTTTGTTCTTATCCTTTTACTAAAATATCTTTCAGGCTTTTAAATTAAACCTATTGTCTCAAATTATTTTGGCTTAATTAATTATCAATTAATTTGTACTATGCAAATAAATTAGATTAGATATTTTTAGGAGGCCAACATTAGGAAACAATTTCCTAAATTATCCATAAATCTAAATTAGAAAAATAATTTCTTTTTTAGGTAACTCACTTTCAAATTTGGAACTAACTTCCAAATTAGGAAACCGATTTTTAAAATAGAAAACTTGTCATGTTACGAAAATTTTTATTTTAGGAAACTTTTCATTTTCAAATTTTTTTTTCAAAATAGGAAACTTTCAAAATTGAAAACCTTTTTCAAATTCTTTGCCTCTCTTTTATTATGTTAATGTTTAAACTTATGCATGTGACTCAATAGGCTCCTAGATATGTTGGCAATGTATCAAGAATAAAAGACACTCGTTTTATCTCTTGATACATAAATCAAGATTGGCCTCTAGCAAAGTACCATGATTACCCAATTCTCTACAAGGATTAATTAATTCACAATTACTTTTTAGGAGCATGGTTACCATACAATTCAATCTTCATATCTATTTATCACGAGTGTGATCTCGAACTTGGTTATTAGTCCGTTCGATTATGATCACAAAATTTTTCTTTGATTCCCAAATGCCTTAACTCTTAAAGTGAACCAACTATGCTCTATTGATGTACTCCTACTATGGTCACGAGATTTTTTGAGCTAACTTTTATTGAAGTGTAATATGATAACTTTTTTAGCATATAAGAAATGTCTTATCTTAGTCATTCACCTATCTCTATTAGATTCTTAATGCACCCAACGAATCGCCTATGTGCAACCTTTTACCGAATCCATCGAAATGAGTGTAAAAGTACATAAATCCTCTAATGAGATAATCGTGATGACTTTAAGTCAAATGACTAATTGTACCCATCTCATATGAGATTCCCATAGACTAAATCAAATAGGTTTTTATGGTGAGTCAAGTCTAGTGATATGTTCTCTAACATAAATCACCTAAGTGCTTGCTTTAGTATCGGCATGCCAATAGGTGTAAGATCTTCTACGGCTATCATATAGCATGAGCATAACACTCATAAGTTTGATCACATACGATCAATATCCATTCTTGACAATGCTATGACTTGAGACATTTAATAATATTATTTGAATGTATTAATGTTTATTTGACATCTTTTGATCAATCATTAATGCAAATGCATATCATAAGGACTTCTATCTAATTCTATTTAATAAATATAAATAATAAGAATCAATAGAAGGACTTCTTTTATTATTAATAAAATAAATAATACAATGTTACAATAACTCAAACCATCCAACCAAGGTTAGATCTTGAGCACCTATATTAAAATTTTATGAATCACACATACAATTGAGTTTAGCATCACCATAAATCAATGAGAAAACGATCCACACTACTAAGGTCCATTGATAAAAGATTTTAATCATCCAAAATTGCCTAAAAGTATGAATATCTTTTAACTAATAAGAGACAACCCCTACAAATCAAATCTAGATATGCTAACACCCTAAAAAGGAAGGGAAAAAAAGAAATGAAATAAATAGAAAAAAGAAAAAGAAAAAAGAATAATGGCATAATTGATAACATATAATAGAAGGAAAAAAAACATCTTTGGTCTCATCCATTCCACTATATGAGTGCTTATCCTTTTTTATTTTTATTTTTTGTATATCATTTCTATTTAATTTGCCAAGTTTTCAAACTCCATCATAAAAAAATTAAATTCATCTAAAGATCATAGTATTATGATCGAAACTCAACCTCATCTCTTATTGATCTTTTTGAGTGAAGCATCATTAATTCAATTTTGATGTTGTTATATACACTCGCTATTTATGATCATCTTC